TTGATGCCAAGAGAAAGAAGGAAGAATAAAATTGTTTAATGTGTTTGCAAATGAGAATTCGCCCAGAATTTATAGAAATTGAGGCAACTGTTTGAATAGGTGTATCCCTTGAAATCCTTGCATATATCTATTGGAAGTGACCGTTAAAAATGAACAGATGCACCTGACCGGGCAGGTCGAACCCCATTGCGTAGTGGCAAACACTAATCCGAGCGGCAAATCATTCGCAAAACAAAAAATTAAACACATGCAAAATGATAAAAAAATATCTAACAGGGGAGACAGAGGAGATTGGTTAGTTGCTACCTGCACTTTCTTTCCTCTGCCTGGTTGCAATACACAAGTAGTGATATGATAATACTATTTTACTCTTCAGGAAAATTGGTTGAGAGAACCCTGATGCGCAAGTATGGAGGGGAAAATATTAACAACCACTTCATAAGTTTCAACACTATTTGCAATGCGACTCAAGTAAATTCCTCCATCTCTTCAAACAGCGTTTTTTAGCTTGCGATAATGTTTCTTGTTATATTTTGTAAAACATTGAAGTTCCACCGTAAGAAACTATGTTTTATATTAATATCACTTTGTCATGGCATGAGTTCGTATTGTGCCTGATCTTACATGTTTACTGACCACTTGAATAATTGCTTACGATTTTCTGCTGAGCGCGCCTATGAAAATGGGGTCCTCTTTGAAGAGGGCTTAGGTCTTGTTTATTGCAGTTTCGAAATTGCTAGTGGTTTTAAATATATGAAACCATATTGTGAGACATATTGGAAACATGGAGTGCCCCAAAAGGCTGAGTACAAATATGTATGTATTAAGTGAATACACTTGTTGAATTGAAACAAAACCTACTTTGAGCCCCTTTTTAGGACTTCTGTTCTTGGAAATACCTTTTTAGTAGATGCTTAAATTTCTCTTTTGGCAGGTACCGAAGATGTCATTGTCATGGGATGGCTCTGAATTTTGTTATAGGTTAATTTTGAGTTTGACTTTGACTTTTACATGCCTCTCTTATTCAATCCCATTATTCTTATGTTTAGGAACGGCAAGATGCCATGTATAAGCTGGTAGATCAACATATGGATCTCATGCTAGTTGTTGGCGGGTGGAACTCAAGCAATAATTCACACATACAAGAAATATCAGAGGCTCGTGGAATTCCATCATATTGGATCGACAGTGAGAAGAGAATAGGTCCCAGAAACAAAATAAGCTACAAGCTGATGGTAAGTACACTGATACAGTCTGTTCTCATGACTACCCCCGGAACACTTTCTGATTGTTCACATGTTGCATTTTACTTAACAGCATGGTGAGTTGGTCGAGAAAGAGAACTGGCTACCAGATGGCCCTGTTACAGTAGGTGTAACATCTGGTGCATCCACCCCTGATAAGGTAATTGTCTCCATTCAGCTTTTCAATTTTTACCGTTTACTTAAAAAATTTCCAGCAATTCATAGGGGTTTTGAACATTTATGGCTCCTCTCCAGTATCTGACATGAGATGCATGGCGCGTACACACACATTCTTTCTCAAGAAAATGATTTTGAGCACGACTTCTTATCGACAGTTAAAAAATTTCTACAACCATAATACTTCATCTAGCAGTTTGAAGATTTTAATATTGAATTCAATGGAGCCTAATAAGAATATATTGGACACTTATCTCCCCATATTAGATCACAAAGCTTCCTACACTATATATAAAGGTATTTTAGGAGGGCTTTTTCATTGTTTGATGAATACAAGACTGAGAGGTGAGACTTCAATTGTAAACTTCTTGCCTATTCAGTAACATTTGAAGCTTTACATTGAGGGTGAACCACTGTAAATTTGGGTGTTCTCTATTCGTACTGACCATTTCGTCTATACTAAATGGTGTTGGCCTGGTTGTTGAAGATGTCCTCGTCAAGGTTTTTGACATCAAGCGCAAAGAAACATTACAGTTGTTGGCACAAATTAGTTGTCTGTATTATACTACTATATATATAAAAGTCAGCAGACGAATCAATAAACCATTTATTGTTCAACTCTATCACGACGAATCAATGTGGTCGTATTAAAAATACCCCGTCCCTTAACGATGAAAGCTTCTTTCTCCATCGTCCTATGCATTTGTGCCTGATCGATGTAGAACTAGGAGTGCTATCTCCTATAAAAAGGGGAGGGAATCTAATTCCGGTTTAGTTTCGATGGTTGAAGTTTTAGGCAATAAAGATTTATTGGTTGTCTAGATTTTTCTTAGATTTAATAATGAATTGAACGTTATGGTAAATATTGATTTACATAACGACTTTTCGTTGTTGTGGTGGTGTCTAAATTCTAAGAGTGTTCTACTAAAATTAACACATGTTGTAGTTGCCATTGATTTTATTTGACATTATTTAACAATGAATCGAACACAATAGTAAAAATGATTACCCTAAAAGAAATTAAAATAAAAAATTGCGGATTCAAGTAGTTAGAAACGTTTATATCAACATCTTTTTGGAAAAGAAATAAGTTTTTGATGTTTGACCACAAAAGAATAGAAAAGACCGTTGCTACTATGAATGAAAAAGATGGAAAAGGATGGGAAAATTAAAAGGAAAACGCTAGAAGGAGGGCTTGAACCTCCGACCTTGTGGTTAACAGCCACACGCTCTAACCAACTGAGCTATTCCAGCTTGCTGTTTTGTTGTGCCTTTTATTTTATTATATTGAATTGAATGTAACTAGGAACTACTACTCTCTCTAGATGGAAGTAATTGCATCATTCCGGATGCGAAATTTGTATTAGGGTAGCTGGACTTAGAAGTACAAAATGGTAGAGGAATTCAAATATTTAGATTATGAAATTTTAAAAATTGAAATATTTCATAATTTTATTTTTTTTTCAATCAAGTTTTCCAAATAGGACAAATATATATATATATATATATATATATAAGCAAAAAAATAACTTAGATCGAGCTATATATTTGGGATTGGGGGAGTGGGGATGGGGCTTCTAGGGTGGGGCCTGTTTTAAGACTTTAAAGCGTTTTAATTAAATAATTTAAATCGTTAGATTAACTTAAATTGAGGATCGAGATTTTTTTCTAAATTTCCTTAGAGGAATTTTTTACGTGGAAAAAGTTGTTATGACAGGAAATTGGAATATGTTTTAAATCCAGGATCTGTGTGGCAGCACGTAATTGGGTCCTTCTTTAAAAATAAAAAATAAAAAAACTGGCCAACTAGATGATGATTGCACCTAAATTTAATCCCAGTCCCCATTCCTTATTTTTGTAGCAAAATGGTTTTCACGTTTACTAGTTATTGTATTGTTGAATTTTATTTGACAATCTTCGCTAAAAAGTAAAAACTGTAAATTGTTACATTGCAATAAATATATGAAAATAATTATATGCATCACTGAATAATGATAATCATTCAAATCAAAGTTTGTGTAAACACGGTAGAGTGTTGGAATGTGGTGATGTTTTAATGTAATTTTAAGTGATTCGTTTTTCTCCTCCTTCCCCATTATTATTATTATTATTATTATTTTTTTTTTTTTTTGAGAAATCAAAATAGATTCGTGTTCTAACTTGTGAGAATATTAAAATCATGTATTTTCTAGTGTAAAATGATGCTTGATAAATGAAAATTTGAAACTTGAATTATACCATTGACAGTTGTTCAAATATTGAAGAAAAAACAATTGTAACTTATTCCACATTAGAAAAATGACAAGGCAATAATTAATTTATACATTATCATATTTTATGAAAGAGAGAGTATAGATACTCTCTCTTTTTCGCGCGTGCGAAGGGTACAAATCACGTATTGGATTAACATATCGACTTATTGAACTCGTGTAGTATATATTCTCTCTCTATTTTTTTTTTTATCCCATTTGTTTGTGAATTTCTTTTTGCTGCAACTGCTAATTTGTTGTTTTGTTCATTTTTAATTATTAAATATATTATTATATTCTATATTCTTCCTAACGAATAGTTCTCAATATTTTTTATTAAAAGTATCAAAATGTACTAAACAACTCAACACGAGTTGTTTAGTACATTTCAGTACCATCTTGAGCTTATAATTTGAATAATTAACCCATCACGTTCTATAGGATGGAATGTGCCTAATCCAACACACCTAGAAAACCACCGTAATAGACAAAAAATAGCTCAAGATAGAAAACTTCCAAAGTAAGACCGCATCAAAATTAGATTGTATTGACCATACCAAGACAAAAGATAACTCAAAACAGACAACTTCAAAATTAAATCATATTTTCAAACAACATAAACCACCTCAAACCTCAAAAGTACTTTCAATGTGCAATTTTCTAACAAATTCATGCCATTAAATCAAAACAGACAACTTCAATCTAATTTTCTTAGAAATTAGATTGTATTGATCGTATTAGGACAAAAGATAATCAACAAAATAAATCACCTCAAACCTCAAAAATACTTTCAATGTGCAATTTTATTTATTTTATTTTATGATGAAGGAATACGCAGTCGTTACACTTCGTATGCGAATGCGCAATTTTCTAACATATTCATGCCGCCATCATAATACGGCTATTGCACCAAGAAACTAGTGGTTCCAAAACAGTCCTTGGTCAACACTTCTACATGCACAGTCAAAATCACACATTCAACGGACTAAAATCATCTCACCATTTGACCAATCAAATAATCCCATGTCATCACAATCCAACAATCACGTGCAGACCACGTGAATCCCCCCT